TTGGTTTTCCCCCTTCGCAGTGCCCAGGGCGGAGGGCAGCCATCTCAGATGCCGAGGTCCACCTGGCAGAGGTCTATGTCGATCAGCGGATGCCATCTCTGGTCCCTGGTTACCGATTCACCGAGTTTTACAAGTTGGAAATAATTTGGCACGTCGGGTTTTATAGTGACTTATTATTCGTGGCACCCAGACTGCCAGGGAGGGAGGGAGGGAGCCTGCATCACCGCTGCGACAGGTCACGGTGTACGGCAGGACTGGCGAAACTGGGGTGTGTGCGTGGTTACTGCCAGCTGCTCACACAGCATGGGTACCGCTGCCGGTGCCGGCTCCTGAGCAAAAGATTTGTGAATCCTCGGCCTCGGGGGTCTGTGTGGCAGGAAAGGGGCAAGCAACGTGCTCTCAGCGGGAAATAAGTGCCCGGAAGAGAAGCTGCTGCAGAGCTGCTGCAGTCAGAGGGAGTGCAGTGAGAGAAAGTCTTGGGATGCTAATTAATCCCCCCTTAGGAAGATATTTATTAGGCAAATGCCTCACATTCATACGCACATCTGCAGTCAACAGGGAGGCTTTTACTTTTTTTCCAGCCCAGCAAAGCGGAAGGGTGGGAGGCTGCTGTGGCCAAACAGTCAGCGGTGCTGGGGGGGCTCAGCCTGCTCCGGGCACCTTGGGTCAAGTGTGGAAAAAACAGCTGAAATGACCAAGGTACAGGTTGGAGGAGAACCTGGAGGTAGTTGAGAGGAAGAGCTTTAAACCTGGATGCCTTCCCTCCTCACTCGCTGATGGAGACGTTGCAAAGCACAGGGTGGGAGCCATCCCTGCCAGACAGCCTCATCCTGCTGGGAAGAGACGTTCCGGAGTCGCTGCATTAATATAACCTGGGGCGGTTTTTGCTGTCAACCAGTTAATTGCTGAGGTTGACTGATACAGCCCCTGATGAGCAGAGGATTGTGGATGCTTGTAGCTTTTGCAGAAGAAAGACAGAGCCAATATTGCAGCGCTCCGGCGCAGGGCCCGCATTGTGGATGCTTGTAGCTTTTGCAGAAGACAGAGCCAATATTGCAGCGCTCTGGCGCAGGGCCCGTGCCAGCAGCACCTCTCTCCTTGCCCAGCAGATACTGAGCAGTGGGTCAAGGAGGTTTGCCAGGGACCTGCCTTGGTGTTCCCTGCTCCTTAAGTATGGGTGCTCTGCAAGAGTAACTGCTCGTCCCAAATTGTTTGCTTTGTTTGCAATCACACAGATCTCATTGCTTCAAGAGTTAGTTACAGCAAAATCTAGTTGGAAGATGTTTCAAGTCATTCAAAGCCCAGGGCTGGACAGGAAACCTAAAATTTCAGACTGAGAGCAGGGTGTGAGCTTCCCAGCGGCGGAAGAGGTAATTCTGTTGTACGTCTGCTGGGTGCTTCCTATGACCCGTAAAGGGGAGCGACTCCCCCCAACCCAAGATGAGAGCTGCAGTTTTGGGAAGGATGAATAATGACATTTCCAAGGCTTACTGGTTTGATGTGCTAATCCAAAGCAAAGTCAGCCTAAAGCAGACCTGCTGAAGGCAAAACATGTTTCTTACTGAAATACTCAAATGTCCTCAGACCCCCAGAGCCACGCAACCTGCCCTGGTTATCCCAGGGTTTTTTTCCCAGCTGTACCAATGGATGGAACATCTATACAAGCTCCCTCTTTACACTGAGCAGTGTGCTGCTGAGAGCACTGGTATGAAATTCAAACTCTAAGCTGTCCATCTTAATTAAATTAGTTCTATCCATGAGGTTCAGCGGTCGGTCATGGCATGTGGGGGATTTACCCTCAGGTCCTGGAGGAGCGGGAGTAAACCCAAGAGCAAAATCCTGTGACTTGGGATGACAACTGCGTTCTTAAAGACTGAAAGCTCCTGGCAGAGCAGTTGCCTTGCCAGCAAGCTGCTGTTAACAATATCCTTTTTATTCCAGGGGCCCAAATCTGCCGTCTGCGAACCTGACTGGCTTTTGCAATTGATTTCAGCCAGGCCCTTGATTTTCACTGACATTTGCTTCGGTCAGTCATGGCTGCCTGCTCCTTCCCCATCCCTCCTCCCCACCGCGCAGCAGCACCCTCAGAGCCTCCCCTTCCCCCCCATTTACAGAGAAAGCTGAATTCCTGGCTTTGCAACAAGACAGGCAAAGTTTGGCATTCAGACAGCAAGGAAGGACTTGGGAAACCTGGTCCGGTGCCTGTGTCTTCTTCGAGTTACTGCATGATGGTGCATAAATCACTGCGTTCCCCTGTGCCTCAGTTCCCTGGCTGTGGCCAAGGATGATGGTACCCCCTCACCTCGGGGGAACAGGGGATATTAATTACTGTTCATAAGGTGCTCAAATGTGGCAGCATAAATAGTAAACAAGTATTTAATGCGTTTCTAAAGATAACTCATCTGCAAATACTGAGGTCCATAGCCTGGGACTGGAATTGGGAGCTCCCTTGGCTGTTATATAACTGCAGTTTTTGGTTGGTTTGTTTGTGGGTTGTTTTTATTACTGTAGTTATTTCACAAATAAGGAACGCATCTGACTAGAAAGGATCAAACAAAAATAAATGCCTGCTTAACCCAGGCATATGGAAACTAAGTGTTATTTTAATTATATTTTTGAAACAGCAACCTCCTATCTTTGGCCCAAAGCTTTCAGAATTCAAAGGCAAACATTGCCCTGATTTCTGCCCCCCCCCCCAATCCACAGCCTCTTTGCCTTTGCGTTGGTGAATTTGGGGCTGCCAGGTATCTCCCGAGTGCAGGAGTCCAACTGATTGTTGCTGAGGCGAGAAGTGACGAGGGGACACGGGGACGCCGTATGTCTCGCCTCTCCCTGCGAGGGGGATCTCCTTCCCATGGGAGGCTCCACTCTCGAGTAGGAGATGTTGCTCTTTTGGCTAAGCCATCCACCGAGCAGCAAGGCCGCCGCTGTACCTGCACCATGCCGTCTTTTATAATCCTACATTTTGATCTCCAGTTCAGACAGTCACAGGCTTTGGGAGCTGGGGGTTGCTCTGGCTGCAGTTGCAGAAGATGCTCGTTAGAAATGGGAACTCTGCAGGCACTGGAGTCTGCTGCTAGCAAGGCCGTGCCGTGCCTGTCCCTCCGAGCAGGCTGGCAGCACTGCAGCATCTGACCACCAGTAGGTCCCACAGCCGCCCAAGGAGCAGCTTCTCACCAGGGATGCCCAATGCAGCATGAGTCTGTGGGGTGCTGGCACCTCTCCTCTAGGTGAGAAGGTTTCCAAGCCCTTACCTAATCATTCCCCCTTTCCCATCTCTCTCACTCCTGAATAGAAAGTTTCGCTTTAATAGAAAAGTGAAGCAATGAAACTACAATGAAATCATCAGTGACATCAAGCTTTAGTCTGAAGCAGATTCAGCCACCCTGCGTCTTCCTGAGGACCGAAATGTACCCCATGAGCTCCTGGGGCAGCAAATCCTGCAGGGTGCCAGCGACACAGCTGTACTCACTGATGGGTGGGTGCACCTCTGGGGGGGATGCAGGGATGAAGCTTGTAGGGAGATGCATGGGTGCACCTCACAGGGACACGTGCACCTCGCAGGGGGATGCAGGGATATAACTCAGAGGGGTGGGTGCAAAGGTGCCTCCTGGCAGGGGGATGCACAGGTGCACCTTGCAGGAGGAAGAGACACAGATTAGACTTTCGGGGGGGTGCATGGTGGAGGCAGGTGGAGGCACAGCTGATGCTTGCAGGGGGGGTGCACCTCCCAGGGGGATGCACAGGTGAAGCTTGTGGGGAGGCACAGCTGCACCCCGCAGGGGTGGCTGCACGGGTGTCACCGGGCAGGGGGATGCACCTCGCAGGAGGGGGGGCCGGCGCAGCTCTGCAGCCCCAGGCCGGCGGCGGGAAGGGGGGGTCCGGGGCACCCCGGCTCCCCGCCCAGCATCCCCCCGCCTCCGCCCCGTCCCTGCACCGGCCGTGCACGGCGCATGCCTCGGGCAGATGCCGGCCGGTTCCAACCGGGAGAGGCGGAGGCTTTTTGGGTCCCGCGCAG